AACCTAAGACAGAGCAAGAGTACTGTGATGCTCTTGACTCCATGACGGGTAAGGGATTTCTTTATATTCCTCACCTCAGACAGGCATAGCCTATCTGCGTGATCAAGGGACCTTGATCATAATATATAAAACAGGGGGAGATGTGGAGAGCAGTGTTAGCCATAGAGACTCCATGTTAAATCTTACCCTCCATTGTATAGAGCAAGGAGACTATGTTACGAGGAACCGCGTCCTTGCCAAATTCGATGTTTACCTTCAGAAATGGTCCTGGAACATGATGAACGTTTTGTAAACCCGCGAAACAAGAAAGCCCATGAGGGTGGGGAATTTCCAAAGAACTAGAGAACAAGGAAGCAGGTGTCTTTGGATAAGGGTCATGATTAATAACCAAACTCACCTGTGATAAAAAGGGGGGAGGAGAATAAAAAAGCACAGTGGCAGTCTCTCTGGGGTGCTCCTGACTCTATCTCTGCATCTTTCTTTTTCTTCATCCTCACTCCCCCATTCAGGTGCTGTTCGACAAGTGACAGCTGGCTCCGTCAGTAAACCTCATATCATTTCACTTCTAAATACTTCTATTGAATCTCTATAATTTATGGCTATTTGATCCTTTTCTATCAGAAAGGAATCTAATTGACCTTCCTCACCATTTTAAGCATAGACATGTAAATGGTTCCCGGGCTATCTGTGAACTGGATGTCACTGGGTCTAATGACCAACCTAGTCCAATCAGGAGTGGTTGGGGAGACCTGTGGTCATTAACATAAAATAACTCTTGATGACACTGCTTGTCTACAAAACTAAGAGGAAAACAGTTTTCTGTATCAGGGGGATCAGTCATGGTACATAGTGTAAAACCTGATTAAATCCTCCCTAGATCACAGAGTCACCACCAGTCCTGGGATTATGGGAAGGCACTTTCCTCAGGCACAGAATTTAGGGGGAGTCAGTAACGAAGATAAGTATTATATTAATGCAATGTTTTAATGAATCAAGATTAATTCTAGGAAATCTGCAGTGAGCATTAAAATGTTAAGTAAAACAGGATCTTCCCACAAGAGTAATAAATATGCTACATTGAGTGATCATCATATATTCAGGTACTTTGCATTCATTAAATCATTTACTTATAACAACCCCATGTGGATGATATAATTAAATAGTATTGTTAAAATTCTTGACATCAGGACTGGGGATATAGTTCAGTGGTAGAGCACTTGCCAGACATGTGTGAGGCCCTGGTTTGATCTCTAAAACAGAAAGGAAGGAAGGAAGGTAGGAAGGAAGAAATGAAGGAAAAAAGAGAGGGAAAATCTTGGTAACAAATTGTATTTTCAACCTAATTTTGAACAGAAAAGCATTTATTGGTAAAATTTCATATAAATCATCAGAACCTCAGTGGAGACATATACAAAAAAAGTAAACAGTTTCTGTTTTTAACATGTCTTCTTTAATTTTTCTTTTTCTTGGTATTCCCAGTTCAATGACCTAACTTGCTTAGAAAAACAAACCTTTTCCAAGAGAAACAACACTTAAATCAAAGAAAATTCTTACATCAACAGTGTTTTTAAAATGTGATCATTTTAAGACCGTGATATTTCCGACAAGCTGAGATTTTGGAATTTAGAATTGGGGTGCTTCATCACTCAGGGGACTAATTTTTTAGGAGAGCTTTAGAGTTACATTTTGGAAGTTGCTGAGAGGGTATTTTGCTTTTGAACTGTGATACCTCTTGAACAAAAAAGGGATTTTCAATATTATTATTTACAATGGAATCTAGGGATAGGCAACTACAATTAATCAGTCACTTATTCAACATCTATTTATTCAGGGCCTAAAGGGATTAAAGCACTGTGCTTAGGAAACAACTATGAAATAGACGATGAAAGTCCTTGCCTTCATGGAACTAACATTTGATTTTTAGTATTACAGTAGTGCTCAGTATAGTATCTCTAATTTAAGACTTGATTTTTCCATATTTAAAAAGCAATAATGTTAACTTATGAGAAAACTGGAAAATATATTCAATCTCAACTAGTTATACTTTAAATGCACTAGAATATTCCCAAATCAGTAACATTTTTTACACCTGTATTGCCATTCTCCTGAATATTCTAGCTCAGTATCAAATAATCCCCCAGAAAAAATATTTAATAATTAAACACTTGTTTGTACCACAGGGTATATGTGAATTGAGAAGTCTTGTGATTTTCCACTTCTAAACTGCTTTCTGAAAATAACTTTAGAAAGCAATAACAACCAAGTGGACTTATAATAGTATAAAAAAGAATAAAATAAGTAGGAATCAATTTAATAAAGGAACAGCAAAACATACATTGAAAATTATAAAGTATTGCTGAAAGAAATTAAATATCTAAATAAATGTAACAGCATTCCACTTTCGCAGAATAGATGGCTTAAAGATGGCACTACTCCCTGAATTGATTCCAGACTCAACACAATCCCTATCATAATCTTAGCTGCCCTTTCTGTAGAAATTAATAAACTGATCTTAAGATTCATATAAAAATGCAAGGAACCCAGAATAGCCAAAAATACCTTGAAAAAGAACAAAGCTGGAGGACTCACATTTCCTGATTTCAGAGTGATTCAAAGCTATAGTAATCAAGACACTATTTTACTGGCAGGAAGATAACATAAATTAATGTGATAGAACCGAGGGCATAGAAATAAACTCTTATATTTATGATCAATTGATTTGTGACAAGTATGCCAAGACAATTCAATGGGAGAAAGAGTCATTCTCAACAAAGGATTCTGAGAAAACTAGATATCCAAGTGCAAACAAACAAAAAAAAGTGAATACTTTCTTTACACCAAACACAAGAATTAACCCAAAATAGGTTACAGAACTAAATGAAAGGGATAATATGGAATTCTTTAAAAAAAAAAAAAAAAAGCACATGAAAAGATGATCCACAGCATTAGCCACTAGATGAATGTAAATAAAAACCACAGTGAAATATTACATCACACACACTAGAATGGCTAAAAAATTTTAAAAGACAGGTAATAAGTATTGGGGAGGATGTGGAAAAAATTAGAAACTTTGTATACTGCTAGTGCAAATGCATTTGGTAAAGCCATTTGGGAAATATTCTTAAAGTCCTTCAATAGACTAAATAAAGATAGGGTTACCATGTAACCCACTAATTCTACTTCTAGGTATGTATCCAAGAGCAATGAAAATATACGTCTATACAAAAACTTGTTCATGAATGTTCATAACAGCATTACTCTAATAGCCAAGAGTGGGAAAAAAATCAAATGTCTATCAACTGATAAGCAGATAAATAAAATGTTATATAGCCATACAATGGAATGTGATACAGGCATAAAAAAGAAATGAAGTATTAATACATACTTACAACATAGAATGAACCTTAAACATTATGCTAAGTGAAAGAAGGTGGTCACAAAAGACCATGTACAATATGATTCCATTTATTTAGAATGTCCAAGAATAAATAAATTTACAGAGAAAAAAGTAGTTCCAAGATTATTTAGGAGGCTGGCAGGTGGAAATGCTGGGTGAGTGTCAGTGAGTACAGGGTTCCTTTTAGGGGTGATGAAAATGTTTTAAAATTAAATTGTAATAGTTGAATGACTGAATATATTAAGAACCATTGAATTGTATATTTTAAATGGGTGAATTATATGACATGTAAATTATACCTCAATGATATTAAATATGCAATTTTAAGGATTCATTTTTGATATAAAATTAATTAAAATAACATAGTAAGCAGGGGATTTAGCTCAGTGGTGCTGCCACCTGCCTCACAAGTGCAAGGTCTTGAGTTCGATCCCTAGGACCAAAAAACAATAAAAAATTTAAAAAATAATGTAGTTAAATTTTAACCTCTAGATTCAGTTTATTGAACTGAATATTGGGACAATCTTTATTTCAAAAGGTTATTATGAATTTTTAAAATTTTTTTCACTCATTCAATGAAAAGTTGAATGCAAGTTGAGTACCTGCTAAGTTCAAGCAGGTGATACAGGAGAGAATATAGAAGACACAAATATGAGTATAATCCTTGTGAAACATTCCAGTGAGGAGAAGCAAGCAACAAAATGATATATAGGTTAGATGATGATTAGTGCTGCAGGAAAAAAAAAGAAGGAGAATTCAGTAGAGGATGGAATGTTCAGGGGGTTTTTGTTTGTTTTTTGAATGTTCAGTTTTAAGTTGATCAGACAAGTATTCACTGAGAGGTTAAGATTTCAGGAAAGTTCTGAGAGAGCAAGCTATGTAGCTGAATTGGGGTAGGGGAGAGGGAGTGTGGGGGGGCACTGCTAGTAAGAAAAATGACTTGAGCTCAAGCCTGGAAGCAGGAGTTTGCCTGAGGATATTCTAGGAACAGTCAGAAAGTCAGTTTAGCTGAAGCTGAATGATGGAGAGGGAAGAGAAAAGACAGCAAGGTCAGAGGGGAAGGGTTATTGAGTGCAGGTGTGGGGGATTGAAAACCCCGGCAGATTGAGTACAGCCCCACTCAGGTCAGGAATTTAGATTTTTTTTTCCTGAGCAGGAAGAAGGACTATCAAAGCATTTTGAGTAGATTAATAAATTGAACGGATTAATATTTAAACATTTCTGGCTGCTCGGTTAAAAACAGATGGGGGTGGGGTAGGTGGCTAAAATTGGAAGGTGGCCAGAAGTCTAGGTGAGAGAGGAAAGTGGCTTAGAGTTAGTGGAGAAGATGGTGAGGAATGATTAACATTATATATTCTCTGAAGCAAGAACCAACAGGATTTAATGACAGACTGGGAAGTATAAGAGGAAGAAAGACATCAATCAAGGAGAAATGAAAACAAATTCATATCTGTAAAGCATAATACCTGGTAAATAAAAACCAGTGAATAAATATCAGCTGTTATTATTGTACTACTACTGTATGCTATTAAAAGTCATAGAAGGCAACCTGTAGACCCTGTAAGTAGCACCTAACATTAAGTATTCTTATTAACCATGACAGGCATTAAACAGTGAGAGTGCATGGCCTCTCCCAACACTGAGTGATGGGCAAGTGAAGAAGCTTCTAGAGTCAAGATGAATTAAATAACATACAGGTTCTGGAGGGACTGTTGAGGAAGACCTGTAAGTAACCACACTCTTCTTTCTCTCTGAGTACTCAGAACCTTAGTTATCTTCTTTTGATTGTTGTGCAAAATGTGTTCTCTCTGTTACCTTCTTGAGTACTATTTATATGTAACCTACTAAGTGTGTTTTCACTAAGAAGGTATACATTTTCAATGTAGAGAATTTAGAAAACATAATGACAAAATTTAAACTATCTAGGAATACAATTATTCTAATATTTTCCTGAGGACTTATACCTATTTTTATAACTATTAAAATGGGACATGAATGAGTTCCTAGATTCAATCTCTAACATTGCAAAAAAAAAAAAAAAGGATTATTCTGTACATAGTGTTTTAAAGTCTGTTTTATTCATTTAGGAATATTGTTTCTTGGACAAAAATTACTTTTCCAAAACATCACTTTCAATGGTGTATAATGAAGTACCAATCATGTATTCCCTATTGTCCAACATTCAGGCTCTTTCTAATTTTTTTGCATTATAAGTAATGTTGTAATCATTATATACTAACAAGGAACAAAATTTTAACAAACTGAATTTAAACATCTATTTAGCTTTTATTAGCAATTCATGCATAGCAGAGCATTCAATGAACGGAATAGAAAGGCATACTTCCAGGCAAGGCAGAACAGTTGGTTTTGGTAAGATAGCTTGAGCCAACTACAAGGAAACAGTGTCATGCAGAAAAGCATTAACATCAGGATATTCAGTTACTCAGGTCCCTATAGAAAAAAGCAGAGGGGGCGTCCTTATCATGCTGGCTTCCATTGACTGGGCCCCATTGGATTGGTTGCTGTGAATCTCCTGGTATTTGGAAAACTCACAAATTGTTACATTCAGTTGGATTATCTGGCACCTAGTATGAGTGATTATGAAGTCACTAGTACTAGTGACTAGTACTAAGTAAGCTATGAAGAATTTCAAATACAGTCCTTATTTCTTATTTCAACCTGTGAAATAACTTCACCTATTTTTCTTACAAGCCATTTTCTCGCATTTTAAGTCATATCTGGAAATTTACTTGAGAACCAAGAATAAGGAAGCAAAGGGCTCAAGAAGTAATTATCAGAAACAGCAACCTGTGTGTGCTCTGTAACATCTTTTTTGGTCGTGCTAGTCCAGTTTGCCTAATTTTGTTAATGTGCTCTGAAAGATAAAAAATTTGAGTATGTAGTGTATATGATAAGAAATTGTGAATGGTGAGACTTAGGTGACACTTCATCAGCATTCAAAGATACTGGTATTTAATCCTCTGATGGAAAACTTGCCTCCAAATTTGAAGCTGGAAAGTCACTGGAATAACTGAAAAAGAAACAATACATAGTTTTTTAGATTTTTGGTACGTGTGTTATAAACTGTGTAAAAAGTGAAGTGTCTGTACTGATCCTCAACACAACCAATAAAATCTCAAATGTGGAAGACCAAAAAAAAAAAAGAAAGAAAGAAAGAAACAGCAACCTGTAGTAGTCCAGCATACGTGGACATTTCAGCCAGGAGGCTGTATGATGTGTCAGAGGTTTCTCCCCACTCCACTGTAAGAACTATGCCTGCTAGTGAATATGGCTGGGTTGCTAGCTGGTGGGCTGGATGGAGCCTGCTGACATAGGTGTGGTACTCCTCCTTAATCATCCAGTCAGGGGAGGTTGGTGTTGGAGAAGGGGTGCCAGGACACAGGAGTGGCTGCAGCACAGAAGGAAAGCAAAACTATGCTGCTCTCAGCAGCTGTGAGAATGTCTCTTCCTCAGAGCTCATACCCTTGCCCGGGCCACCCTGGAGCCTTAGACCTGAGGAACTCAATGCTGTTAGGAATCAGACCTTTCTGCTTTTGACTGGCATAGCAGTCCCAGCAGAAAAAAAGCCAAATTTCCTTTTTCACTTTGATTCAAACTAGGTTACCTTCTGAAGCAGACTCTAACTCCAACCCAGGGCTTTTTCCTAACAAGGTTATAAGATTTCCAAGGACTGGCTGGATAGTGGTACCTTCCTGATGCAGAGACTCACCCCAGGACTCTTAGGCCATGAACTACACAAAACCCTGAGGAGATTATCCAGGGCATGGGAAGAACACTCCCCAGCCAAACTCAGAACCAAGGAAATCTCAGCACCCTTGGTAGATAAATTTGGATTCCTCTAGAAAACCTACAAGTACACCAAGATGCTTGCCTCTCACAGCACCCCAAAGGGACACACATTACCTCTTCTGGATGGGGATACAAAGTCACCCATTTGCATGAGGTCACCTTGTCCAGGGGGAGCAGCAGGGCGGCTCTTCTGACTGCCCAGCAACCATCCTTCCCTCAAAATTGCCCGCAGCCTTCCCTCACGTGTCCTCATACTGATCACATTCACAATGTAACTTCTCAGTGTGCAGCCAGTGGCCCCACATGTGACCGAAGTCCTATGGGAACCACAGCAACTGCAGAGATCTGAGGAGCTAGTTATATGTCCCATGATCTCAGAGATTCGTTCCTCAGGCAGGCTGACTGGGTGTCATAAAATTTAATTATATAATGTAAATTGACTGTGGGGATGTTTTTGCAGAGCAGGCACTGACATCCCTCAGGCTTTGCAGGACAGCAAGAGCTAATGTGAGTCACTATTCAATGCGTCTCCACAGAATCTGAGCACAAACAGGAAGGTGCAGGCCTGGCCCCAACTGCTGAGTCAGAGCAGGCTTGGTTCTCCAGGCAGGGCTGTGCCCCACCCCCTACTGCCCCTGCTCCCCTGGAGGGCAGGGCAAACTGAAGCCTGTGCAGAAATCCAAACTGTAGGGCTGGAGGGAGGAAACAGCAAATTTTTATTCCCCACCTCCATTTCTGAGAAGATGCACTTTTCTTCTGCCTCCTTCCTTCTCCTTTTCCCTATTCTTTTCCCATATCCAACTTGGGAAGTAAGAGTTGGCAATACCCAATAGCCAGAGGCAGGTAAGCATTGCTTAAGGTCCAGGAACAGGTTGTTTGGAAAGTATCTTAAAATTTATACCATATATAGTATTGTTACTGGATGCGCTAGGGACTGGCAGTGTTTTCCAGGTTATTTGTTTGGATCAGTGAATTGGTCAGAACAATTGGTAGATATGAAAGATTATCATTTAATTTAGGGCAGAAATAAGAAAAAGTAAGAAATGCAAAAGAAGTATTCAGGGAGAAAAGGGTGTTTTGAAAAAGAGAGAAGATACATCCTACAAGCAGAATGGACCACTGAAAGAACAAGAGCATGGTGGCACATGCCTTTAACCCCAGCACTTGGGAGGTGGAGGCAGGAGGATTGCCACAAATTCAAGGCCAGTCTGGGCTAGTGAGCTCAAGGCTAATCTGAACTACACGGTGAGATCCTGTCTCAAAAAACCAAAACAAAACCAAACAACGAGGGCAGTGGCCCCAAAGTCACTTGCTGCCACCCTTTTATGGCTTCTTGGATAGTTGGTCCAGGTGATCCCACTTTATCTCATCCTAGAAGATTGATATCAGATGCCAGGTTTGGCGTGTTCTGATGTCAGAAGATTGGTGCCTGGTGGCAGGGCTCAGCTTGATCTCATGTCAGGCTCAGGTGCTGCTGTTCTGTGCCTGTGATTAGTAAGTTCCCTCAATTGGTAGGGTGTGCCCAGCTGCTCCAGTAACATTGCCATGCTTCAGCCTCCTACTTTATTAGCCTGCACACACACACCAATGTTCACATCAGAAAACTCATACTTTTGTTTATCTTGTTGACTTGGTTTTTTTTTTTTTTTTTTGGTACTGGGGATCGAACTCAGGACCTTGCTGTTGTGAGGCAGGCAGTGGAACCACTGAGCTAAATCCCCAGCCCTGACTTGCTCTTTGTATTTAATTTTAATTTAGTTTTTCTTTTAAATTGCATGGGGGTCTGTGAAAACACACACCATTATCTTTTCATCTTTTCTGTGCTAGAGCTGCTGAAGTCCTGGAGCAACAGTGGTGAGTTTTGAAAAGCTGTGGTCAGGGAAGTCTGGGTGGGAGGGAGACAAACTTTTCATGTAAAGCTGCAACTGGGAATACAGTAATATTGGGGATTGTTGGTAGATATGGATGATGTCAGCTACTTTGGGTGGCAGTAGTACAGCGTAAGGTCAAAAGACTTTTGTGGTCTCAGGCTGGGCTCAAAACCCGGCTCTGGCATTTATATACAGGGTAATCTCAGTGAGTTATTCAACCTCTCTGATGGTGAGTTTTATCATTCATAAATTAGGTGACCCTTAGGATTACATGAGCTAACATGAATAAGCCACTTGATACACATAGCAAATATCTGGTAAATGGTAGCTCTTGTTTTACAATGTAAGTTTTAAAAACAATTCTTCTTAAAAATTAAGACAACATGATAAATTATACTTCCTTTAAAACATTTAAAAATAAGTACTAGAATTTTTCTTTTCTTTCTTTTTTTTCTTTAAATAAAATCTGCTTTTTAATATGGAGAAGACCTCTATCAAAGCCTGGTAAATAAAAGAACAATTTAGGCTAATGGTATGAACCTCAGTACAGGTATTATTTATCAATTTGCTCAGTTGGTGAAAGTGTTCTTATGCAAACCAATTAAATTAACACGTCAATTTTACCCACAATAAGAAAAGTAAAAAAATCTAGAAAGAATGGAAATACTTACTTTACTTAGGATCTTGTCATTAATTTAAGTTGACTTAGGCTCAAAGGAGGAAAGGACAGAAGGGAAAGGTAGCTGACCCGAGGTGAAAGAGGGTTAGGAAGCTGAGGGAAAGGCTTCCTTCTTGGAAAAGATTAAAACAAGAGCTTCCACAGGAGTAAAGATTCACACAGGAAAGGCCTGGAAACCTGACAGCTAAGCTAAGGGCTCCCTGTGGTCCTAAACCCCGATGGTGACTGATAACCCCCTTTGTGTTTGGGCCTAGAGCTTCCGGGCAGGAAACCCCAGCCCCGTACCAGGGATAAGGCCAGCCTGGGAGCAGGCCCTGTGAGGGCGTCTCATTGCCACTTCCCACTCTCCCTGGGAGGCTCTGATT